AATTAATATAATTTTAGTTTTAAAAATTGTCAAAACTTTAATAATCATATAAATTAAGGCCAAATTGTATAATAATGCATCATAATTTTTATAGTTATTTAAACAAGGTTGATAAATATTTATAGTGTTAGCAATTTATACATAAAATACAATAACACACCTACCAATTGACTGGCTAATACATTGATTGTGCAATTTAAAATTATTATTGATTTTGTTTACAGTTATTAACTAATTTTACAAACAATGTTTAGAATTTATCGTTATATTTAATTTTAATAATTTATTTTATAATTACCATTTATATAAATAAATTACTTGTCCATGATTCCAATCTAATAAATCATCAGGTTTATTAAATAATAAATTCTAAATTTATATTTAAATATGATTAAACATTTTAAATATTCTAGAAAAGAGCAAAATTATGATTAAAATTATTTAGTAATTGGATCATTTGTATATTTTAATATAAATAACTTTAGTATATACAGACTGTAAATTCAACAAGTTATGTTATTTAGTTCAATTGTTGCATATAATGTACTATTTTATGGATTCATCATTTCCACCACTAACTAATACGGAATGATTATATTTTGTACATTCTCTTCGTAAATATGATTTAACAAAATCTAATTAGTTGTCATGACGATAATAATGGTTTAATTTTATATTAATTGTCACATTTTAAATATTTCATACAATCATAAATCATTTTGACATAAAGTAATTTGTGATCAGTTAGATGTTTAATGGTTTTAAATTAAATTTACATAGTCTACATAATATTTTAATAATTTTATATTCTTGAAAATGTGACAAAACAATTTTTGTAAATAATATTATTTATTTAAATTTTGAAAAAACTTAATAATTTAACTATACAATAGCAGTAAATTTATTGTATAAAAATTTGCTTTCCTTTTATTAATAAAGTAATTATTTACATTAAAATCATTTACCAACAATATTGCAATATAAATCATTATATTTATTTATATGCATTGACGAAACAATTTGTTAGATTTAACAAATTATTCTTCACTTGTTTATATACTTTATAATTCAAACGATTGTCAAATTGTGATTCATAAGTAACACGTGAACATTTGTCATAATAATAAATCTAGCCGGATATAATTAATTTATAGGACCAGGCGATTAAAAATACGCACATACTTGTATTTGTGCAAACTTGCACCTTTTAGAAATATTTGGCATAAAATACGTTGAATAAATGTAGTTTCCCGATAGTATATTATGTGTAAATTTATTAATTAACATTACTTATTTAAGTGACGTTTTTAATTAGTACCAATTAATTCACATACATTGCACTAAAATTCTATGATTTAATATTTGAGTATCTAGTGCCATCAAGATTTATTAGATTTATTGAAATAGATCATAATCATTTTGTTTATATAAAAATTAACTTAACATTTACAATAAAGAAATACTATAGTAATATATTATATAAGTTTTAATGTGGGCATTAATGCAATAAATAGCTAGACACATTATAAATTAAATTATAATGTTGTCAGTTTAATAACTATTATTTCTACAATTAAATTATTTAACTGTGCATGTAACTATTATATTAAAAATATTTGGCCTTCTAACCTGGTGATCTTGACATTGAGTTGTTTATAATGCAATATATTATTAAATAAATTATTACATAAACGTAATTTTAGTTTCGTAAATATTCCGACTGGACTCATCAGGACCAATGCACTAAATGTCATAAATATTAAACTCCTACATAAAATATATTACTAACTTACATTAAAATCTATTTAAAATTTTCTATAAAAGCCAGTTCGGTTATTTTGTCTAGCCATTTAATAGAGTATAGCAACAAGCTTGTTTATTATAACTATTTTTGCTGCCAATATAAATTATTGCAATAATATTAGTTATATTGTACGAGCGTAACTTAAAATACTTATGAAGTTTATTTAATATTTCAAAAAAGTTTATATATTAAATAATAACCATCTTCACAATAACCATGAAAGCTTCATCCTTAATTTATATCTACATTCAATTCGTAACGATAATAATTGCTACAAATGTCACAGACCTACAAGCTGGACCAACATGCACGGATCCCAACGAGGTGCTCGTGGGCAGCGAGTGCCGGTGCGCACCCGACTTTCACAAACCTACCCCAACGGGTAAGTGCACGGCATTAAAGTGCAAAACAGACACCGACTGTATAATGTTGTGGGAGTCGGACCGGGTGTGCGACAAACTATTGGGCTCGTGTCTGTGCGCGTTGGGTTACCGGGAAAATGTTGAAAATGGTCGCAAATGCGTGCTGCACCAAACGCAATCGTGCTTGCCCGCCACCGGGTGTCAGGACCCACAGGTAGCGTAACTAGATATTTATTTCATGGTAGATCTAAAATTTTAAAATATACAAAAAATGATTTATTGGATTACTATTTAAGAGTATTATTTATTATTATTGCGTTTAATATACTTATAATTGTAGAATTCATTAGGTTTAATTAAAATACTAATTATCTTGCATATTAAATATTGCATATTAATATATTTTATTAAAAACAAATTTAATGTTGGACACTCTATTCACCTACATAGGAGGTTTGCATAGGAGGCCATTGTCTACCTGCCCCCAACGTTCGTTACGATGACAAAACCAAAAAGTACGTGCCCTATAAATGCGCCACCGAGATGAACCAATGCGCGCCGCACTGGGACGACAAGCGCCGGTGCGATCCAACCCTAAACGCGTGCGTTTGCCAGTCGGACGACTACCGGGAAAACATGCAAAACGGTCGTAAGTGTGAGCCATACGCCGCGCACGTATGCAAAGATGGCTAGACAAAATANTAATATTTAAATTACACCTATTTAAATTATGATAAAATTTATGAAACCAGGATTTTTTTTGCATAGTACTTTAAACATTTTTCAGACGACGTTTTTCATATGATATGGTCAATATGCTTGACCTCGTATTCTAGAGATAAACTCAAATCAATCAAAATTTTACCACTATTTCTATAGACATAATGTTAAATTCAAACTAATTATTGTCCCTGTTTAAGAATCTGTATTGAAAATATTGTTCTTCATGTAGTTTTTGGTTAATTAATGATTTTTCAATATTTCAAATTTATATTATTTCAATATATTATTTAATTCACAAATAAAAATATAATTTTACTTGTGAATTGATTGCAACTAAATTTATTAAATTTATTAAATAATGTGAAACATATAGCCAATTATAAATACAGTACATTAATAATGTAGTTATGTTTAGCAAAATTAAGCGGGTAAATTACATATACATGTGAATTAACATAATAATTTTATTAACACAAATTAGCTATGCGTTGAAGGCCACTGCCGGTGCCTACCAAACACCCGTTGGGACGACAAAACGGGCAAATGCGCGGCACACAAGTGCACCGGCAGTATAGACTGCTCGCACCCGTGGGATCAGTACCGCAAGTGCACACTCCCGGCGGGCAAATGCCAGTGCCTTTCGCACGACTTCCGGGAAAACATCAAAAACGGCCGCAAATGCGAACCATTCGTCGCCCCCATATGTAAAGACGCCAAGACTTGCGGCAAAACCGAGGCCTGCGTTGACGGCCACTGCCGGTGCGCAGTAGACACCCAATGGGACGACCTGACCGGCGCCTGCAAAGCCCACCCGTGCACTATGGACGGCGAGTGTTCGCCCGAGTGGGACCGTAATCGCCGGTGCGATAAGCCCACGAAAAAATGCGCATGCCTGACTCATGATTTCCGCGAAAACAAGCTTAATGGCTTGAAATGCGAGCCCTTTGTGCCTAAACCATGTGTGGCCAACGCGACCAACGGCGAGGCCATTGTGGCCAACGGCACCTGCGCTAAGGGGGAGCTGTGTGTGGGCGGCAAGTGCTGGTGTCCGGCCAATCAGCGCTGGGATGATAAGACTGGGAAGTGTGTGGCGTTTAAATGTACCTTGGACGCCGAGTGCGTCACCGCGTGGGACCCACACCGCCGGTGCGATATGACTAACCCGGCTAATCATACCTGCGCCTGCCTGACAAAGCAGTATTGGGAGGTTAAGTCTATGGGCTTTCAATGTGTGTTTGGCTCGGCCTACGGCCTAATTCATAATAGCTCCTGGCTGTGGCTGCTTATGGCCGGAGTCGTATTGCTCTAACACCGAGTTAGGTTTTTATATATTATTTACCACGTATGAATTTTTATCACTGGTGTTTATTTTATTTATTATTCACATTTTATTATTTTGATTAAGATTAATTTTATTTTTAAATTTTTGTACGCATTTTATTTTGCTAATGTATTTTTGTATTTTTAATTGTTCATGTAAAATAAAGCATATATTTAGCATAATTCGTTGTTAAGTGGAATATCCAATTATTACTTAATTAAATTCAATTGCATTTAATTAACACTACATTAAAGTAAGTTAACAGTTTGCAAACATCTAAATTACATTACAGCAATTATATGCAAAATGCAACTTTCTGCAAAATTAAAACTATTTCAAACATGCTATATAGATATAACTAATTTACTTCTACTATAATCATTTATTTACAAAGGCACGTTTACCATGTAACAAATATTATAACTACTGATAGTACAATGTTAAAGTTATAAATAATATAACAATAAATTAATCATTTTGTACAGTCATAGCGCTATGCAATAATAAACTGTAACTAATTGAGTTAATGTCAAAGTATCATAATCAACAATTATTTTTAAAAACTTAATGGTTAATCTGTTTAACGATTAAGTTTTTAAAAATAATCATACCTGCTCCTGTCTTACCAAGCAGTATAAAATGGTTAAGTCTATGAGCTTTCATTGTGTGTTTGGCTCGGCCTACGGCCTCATCTATAATAGCTCCTGGCTGTGGCTGCTTATGGCCGGAGTCATATTGCTCTAACATACTGAGTTAAGTTTATATATTGTATACCCTAATATAAAGTTTTATGTCAGGTGTTTATTTTATTTATTATTAACATTTTATTAATTTGATTATGATTAATTTAATTTTATAAAATTTTGTACGGATTTTATTTTGCTAATATAATTTTTTGTATTTTAATTTTTCATGTAAAATAAAGCAGATGTTTAGCATGATTAATTTGTGGGTTAAATGTTCCAATTATTACATAGTCAAATATAATTACATTTAATTAACACTACATTAAAGTAAGTTAACAGTTTGCAAACACCTAACAGCAATTATATGCAAAATGCAAATTACAAAATGCAATTTTGAAAAATTAATACTCTTGCAAACATGCTATATAAAGATACAATTAATTTACCTCTACTATAATAATTTATTTACAAAGCACGTTTACCAAATAACAAATATTATAACTAGTACAATGTTAAAGCTATAAATAATATAACAATAAATTAATCATTTTATAAACTCATAGCGGTATGCAATAAATTATAACAATACATACCGTGACAACCATAATAAATAATTAGTAATTAATACAATTATAGCTTAGCAATCATACACTTGCTATTATATTTTATAACTTATAAATACAAGTAAAGTTTGTAACATTTATAAAATTATTTATAGCTATAAGATGATTTAATATAACTTTAATAAATTAATTTATTTTAGTCAAAATGAATATGCTTATTATAACGTTTGTGTTAATCCTAATTGTTTGTAAAACTCAATCGGCATCTCAACCAATCAGCGGATCAATTGGATCAGATTACCAAGTGACAATTATTGGCAATAATAACAACAACAATAATAATGGTCAATTCAATTACCTTATTAATCAATGTTTGTCCAAAATGTACAACCGGTGCACAAAATACCCGGCGCCTAACCTAAGCAATACACAGTATTACTATTGCTGTGTATTATGGGAAACAATCGACTGTTATCAAGCGAATGTCCAGGTTTATTTAAAATAAGATTATTTTATATTTAACTATAAAGAATAGTATTAAATGATAAATATTATTTTGAATTGTTTATTCATTTTTATTTAGTCAACATGCACAGTCCAGGAACAGGCAGCCATGGGAAGCAATTGGAATAATATCCAAATGATGCTAGGTGGTTTGCAGTATACACAGCAAACCTGCAATAATATTGGCTATTACAGGTCGGGCAGCAGATCTATTTGTAGAAATACTAATCGACCAGGTGGTTACCAACCCGGATGGCAACCAGGCTATCAACTACCTGGCAATCAGTTACCTGGGTACAGACCTGGTTACCCAGTTGGCTAAAAACAGATCAATTTATTTAAATTTATTTAATTAAGTATATAATTTATAATAATTATCATGTAAACTTTTTAGTATAAAGTTGATATTATCAATTATGCCTTGATTATAACTTTATTATATAATATTAAACTGTTTAATCAGAATAATTACATAATTTATTGTAGATGGATTTATTTTGAACGCCAATAATTAATAATAGTTTTAAATAAAGTTTATAAGTTAATAATTTTTAATATAAGATTTATAATTACCGTTACAGTCAACTGTCCCGTACCATTTGTTTGATAACATATAGAAGTTATAATACTATGTGTTTCACAATAAACTCCCAATTATGGATAAGTAGATTTAAAGTACTCTAAAATTCCGTGCATTACCCGCGGGTTATCTATTGAAAAAGTAAAATTTTTGAAAAATTCTTATGTGCGGGTTATCATGATATTTTATGTTATCATGTGATATCATCAAAGTTATATATTGCTTAATACTGTACATGTAGAATTATATTTACATACAAATTTTTAAAGTGCGGGTTATACATGGGTGCGCGTAATGCACTTATCTTTAGGATAGATGTATTACATTAGAATACAAATCATATTAAATTTGCTATTTTAAATAATTTTACTTTTTGTAATCTGTATTAATTGTATTAAAGTTAAATATTATGTAGGTGGAATGAAGTTCCACATATGCCTCTAGAGGTCGCAACGGTAACTAATTTTGATAACAATTATAACGCAATTTATATTTAAAGCTATAAAATTTCGACTTATGTTATGACATATTATAAGACAATCAAATCAAATATTAAATAAAATAATAGTATTACACAATTTCAAAGTTAATAAAACTATCGATGACTAAATCATTGTCTTATTTTCCATGCGAGCCAACACTGGCCGCGGATTAGCTGTCATCCGAGTCTTCGGCCAATTGTTTGATACATTCAAGTGCTGTCAACGCCCTCTCATTCTCTTCGGCGGGTCGTGTCATCTCTTTGGCCGCTTTGATCCGTACGGCCAGCGTTTGAGTGATCTCTTTGAGCGCCTCATCCCTCTGGCCCTTACATCTGGTCAGCTGTTCCTTCAAATCGTTGACCTCTCGGAGGGTTTTATCCCATCGGCTGATGGCTTGAGTGCACTCTTGTTTGAGTCCATTCCTCTCAATGATGGCAATGTTGAGCTCCTCAGCGCTTATTTCGGAGCACTTCTGGTGTTTGCGGCTCTCCTCCTGAGCCGACTCGAGCGTCGATACGTATTCTTCGTGAGTGACCACGAGATCCGAGTATCGCTTCCCGAGTGACTTGTGTTCAGCCATTAGTGTCTCGTATTTACTATTCTTGATCTCGTCTGTGGTTTTGTCTGAATTAGTGATCAATTGATTGTGGGATCCGATCGATGAACAACTGGAAGACGTGTCACTCATTGAATGCCTAATATTCTGTGCATTGAGTTCTTGAGCCAAAGTATTGACTTCCGATTCAATGATATGTTTGGATGCCTTCAATGCCGACAACTCTTCACTCAATTCACTAATTTTTGTCGACATTTCACACAATTTGTGCTTCAAATCTGTGGCCATATTTTGATTACTCGCGTTTGAAGTGAATAATGACGACGACGTATACACCGTTTGTTTCAAATGATTATTTTCGTCAACCATTGTCTCCTTTGACTTGAATAACGTCTTGTAATGTACTCTCAAAGTCTCATTACTTGCCTTCAAAGTCGATATCTCTTGAGTTAAGCAACTTTTTTGAGCCGACATTTCACTCAAATTTGCGACCATTTCTTGATTACTCTTCTCAGATGTTATCAATTGTTGTTTCAAACTTTCCATCTCTTATGCCATTATATGCGTTGAATCCTCGGCTGTCATTGAACTATGTTAACGGTTTGCAAACATCTAAATTATATTATAGAAATTATATGCAAAATGCAACTTTTAGCCAAATTAAAACTGTTGCAAACATGTTATATACATGTCTTATGTAAAGATTTAGTTATTTTAATTAATTTACCTCTACTATAATTATTTATTCATAAAGGCACGTTTACTAGGTAACAAATATTAAAACTTGTACAATGTTAAAATTATAAATAATATAACAATAAATTAATCATTTAACACACTCATAACGGTATGCAATAAATTATTAAACAACAACAATAATAAATAATTAGCAATTAATACAATTATAGCTTAGCAATCATACACTTGCTACTATATTTCATAACTTATAAATACAAGTAAAGTTTCTAGCATTATATAAAATTATTAATAGCTTTAACATGATTTAATATAACTATAATAAATTAATTTATTTTAGTCAAAATGAATATGCGTATTATAACTTTTGTGTTATTCCTGATTGTTTGTAAAACTCAATCGGCATCTCAACCAATCAGCGGATCAATTGGATCAGATTACCAAGTGACAATTATTGGCAATAATAACAACAACAACAATAATAATGGTCAATTCAATTACCTTATCAATCAATGTTTGTCCAAAATGTACAACCGGTGCACAAAATACCCGGCGCCTAACCTAAGCAATACACAGTATTACTATTGCTGTGTAATGTGGGAAACAATCGACTGTTACCAAGCAAATGTCCAGGTTTATTTAAAATAAAATAATTTTATATTTAAATATTTAGAATACTATTAAATGATGCATGTAATATTAATTGTTTGTACATTTTTATTTAGTCAACATGCACAGTCCAGGAACAAGCAGTCATGGGAAGCAATTGGAATAATATCCAAATGATGCTAGGTGGTTTGCAGTACACACAACAAACCTGCAATAATGTTGGCTATTACAGGTCGGGCAGCAGATCTATTTGTAGAAATACTAATCGACCAGGTGGTTACCAACCAGGATGGCAGCCAGGTTATCAACTACCTGGCAATCAATTACCCGGGTACAGACCGGGTTACCCAGTTGGCTAAATACAAATCAGTTTATTTAAATTTATTTAATTAAATAAATTATATATTTTATAATGTTTATCATGTAAACTTTATATCTATTAAACATCGAATTTAATTAGCATTTATATATTATAGTTTTTAAATAAAAAATTATGAAGGTGGAATGAGGTTCCACAAGTGCCTTTAGAGGTGGCAACGGTCCCTTCAGATGGGATTTAAATGTTTCCACCTACCGAGGTGGTATGAGATAAATTTTTTGAATTTTATTAAAAATGTAACAGGTCGGTTACATGTGATAACAAAATATAGTCGTTTGTGGCTTATTATTTATTATTTGATTTAATGGCGTGACCAATTGAATTATATTTAATTCTAGATTTGCAATGACTTATAATTCCCTTGTTAGAATTTAATGAATAAATCCTGTACTCCAACATATTTTATCTTAACTTTTATTACTTTATCACTCAAAGTGAAGAGCGTTTTCGAAAGTATTCCCCAAAATGCCCTGGGTATAAATTATTGGTTTACAAGAATTAACAGTATTTTGATTTTAAAAATCGAGACAGTGTATTTAATTATATACATTTTAATTAATATTATTATTAATTTATCATAATAAATTTGCAAGTAAATGGAATTACTGCTTAAATAAAATTAATGAAATTTAACATTTATTAAATAAGCTGTAAGCATTTATTAAACATCAATTTGTCATAATTAGAAATTAAATTTTATAGCTTATTGGCACAAACCACCTGCATATATTCTTTATAAATTAATTGTGGTTAAAATTATGAAAAAATATTTAATAATTATAGACTATCTATAGAGTCAAAAATTTTAATTGTTTTTTAATAAGCAAATATTAAATTAAGTTAATTTTATCACAGATATAAAAAATAAATTATTGATACTACTTTATTAAATTAATCACATTTAATGTTACAGATTATGTTTTCTATAATCGGTTAAGCAATTCAAATGACTTAACTAATGTTATTAATACATTTCTAATAATAAACTGTAACTAATTGATTAAATATCAATTTATCATAATTGTCAATTATGTTTACAATGTTAATGGTTTAAAAATGGTTTTTAGACTTAAATATTCAATTTAAAAATACATTAAATATTTTGTAACTAAATTATTTTATATTGTTATATAAAATTAATTTTACCTACGAATTTCTAGCTAGTCGTTACAAATTCTTTATTAGATTTATCTCATTTATTGTTAAAATAACGTTATTTTATAATACGTTAAGTAATCTTATTTATTTAATACATTTTTAATAATAAACTGTAACTAATAACTTAAATGTCAATGTATCATAATTAACAATTATGTTTAAAAACTGAATGGTCAGACATCAAGGAATGTATGTAAATATATTTTGTTTATATTTCACTAAATATTTTATAATTGAAGTAAAATTTTTTATATTAAAAGATAAATAAATGTTACCTTATTTAAATGCTAGAATTAATATTATAAATAGTCGCAAATGTATTAGTTATATGTTATGTCAAATCATATAGAAAAATTAATAGAACATTTAACTGTCACTAATTATTGTATTATAAAACAATTCGGGTAGAATAATTTTATTTTTGTCAGGTATAATTATAATTTCAGGTATAATATAAATTTTAATTTTAGCAAATAATTTATTGTAAAAACTAAAAACATTTAAACGCACATATTTTACAGCACTATAGATATAAAATATTTAATATTTAAAATAAAATATATTCAGAGTATTTGTAAATAACCAACATTGAAAATAAATTGTTTCATAAATACATAAGTATGTATTATAGTTTGTGTGGTTTATTTATGTACAGTATTTATTTATGCACAATTTTTATAAATGTAATTTGTTGATAAGTTACAATATTTAATATATTAGTAAATTTAATCACTGCTTAACATTAATGTAATTTAACATTTATTAAATAAGCTGTAAAAATTTATTAATATTAATTTACCATAATAAGTAATTTAATTTTATATTTTATTGGCGAATCATCTAACAAAACATTCTTTATAAATAAATCGTGGTTAAAATTATGATGAAAAATATAATAATTATAGATTTAAAATAAAAGACACTAACTTTTACATTAATTTTAATAATAAATCTTATAAGGGCACTGTTCAAAATATGTAGAAATAGATCATTCAAAATAGTCATTCTAGCGTATCACATAACATTCTATATGTTTTAATAAAAAGGAGACAACAAGTCTTATAATATACAATGTAATTGCTATTTGTATATTATAGTTTTAAAAACAAAAATTATGAAGGTGGAATGAGGTTCCACAAGTGCCTCTCGAGGTTACAAGGGTCCCTTCAGATAGAATAAAAATGTTTCCACCTACCGAGGTGGTATGAGGTGAATATTTTGAATTTTATTAAAATATAAAGAGGTAGCATTAATCTCTATAGTATACTATGTAATTGGTAGTTGTATATTATAGTTTTAAAAACAAAAATTATGAAGGTAGAATGAGGTTCCACAAGTGCCTCTCGAGGTTACAAGGGTCCCTTCAGATGGAATAAAAATGTTTCCATCTACCGAGGTGGTATGAGGTGAATTTTCTAAATTTTATTAAAAATGCAAAGAGGCAACACGTCATTTACACGTGATAACAAAATATAGTCGTTTTGACTTATTATTAATTATTTGTTTAATGGCGTTATTATTTAGTGTAAACATGACCAATTAAATTAAATTAAATTCTACATTTGCAATGACTTATAATTACCTTATTAGAAATTTAATTAATAAATTCTGTACTTTAACATAAT